TGCATTACTGCAAAAAACGCATAATAATAATAATAATAATAATAATAATAATAATAATAATAATAAATATTAGTGTGTGACTATGATGTAATGTAATAATAACAATTGCAATGACGGTAATAACAACGGTAATAACAATGGTAATAACAGTATTAATGGCAATAACAGCAATAGCTGTAGAGGGAAGCATGGCTGTAAGATGTTGCCCTACCAGAAACAAAGCTGTTTTGATGTGGCATAATTGATGATAGTAATAATAATAATGATAATTATAATAACAATAACGATTATGATAATAACAGCAGTAATAGTAACGGTGGTGATAAGGATGACAATAATGATAATAATAATAAACACTTCCCAAAATACTTGGCACAAGAAACAAAATTCGCGCTTCAGATGCTGTTTCTGTTTTGGCATCGACAGGTGTCAGTGGGAAACACTAGTTCGTGTTTTGAGTTCTGGTTGGACTAGATTTCCTGTCCTTCCAATTTCAGTAAAACCCTCACCCCCCATGTTCCCTTCCCCCGCCCCATCTCTCCGGGGGTTCTGACGAGCTTTCGCATTTTCTGGCACGGCCTGAAATCATCAAATTTTTCTTCCCGTCACATTAGATTATGGTTTTAATCTATGATAAATCGCCTAAATGTTGTAGCTAATTTAACAATCCATAGATAATGAAAAATAATAGTGATAATAAATAGTGACAAAAAATGATAATGATAATAATAAATAACAGTAGAAAACAAAGAAACCCTGAACTGAAGTGTTTCGCCTCATTAAGTCGTATACATTCCAAATCAATAGTACCACAACTGGATCTCGTCAGTACGACATGCTAATAACCATTGCTTTTTCCCCTCCACACATTTTACTCAAGAGCAGTGCGCTTTCCTCATCCATTTGATTTTCCCTCCATGAATTTGACGTTCAGCTTCCTTTGCAAGCTCGTTTAGCAGATTCTGCAACCATTTTGATTTTCAAGTAATAAAAGCACAATGAGAAATAAATTTTCTCTTTTTTTTTTGCAAAGCAGCAGAAAAATAAATTTTCTTTTTTTGCAAACCAAGAAACATTAGAAAAATAAGTCTTTTTTTGCAGACCACCAAGCAGTTTTGCTCGATCAAAGTGCCTGCTGGATTATTATCAGAGCAATGAGTTCGGGTGATGATTCATCGCAGGAGGATGATTTTCGCTCCGATGTCCTCGCTGTAAGCAGCTCTTTTCCCGTGCATTTCTTTTTTTTTTTTCTTTTTCCTTTGTTGGTAGTGTTTACACCGCTCATTTTTCTCAACATCAATACCTCCACATGCTTTTTATACCTGATCCATGATGTGATTGTTTTTTTTTTTTCTTTATTTTTGTGCATTTTTTTGCAGCTATGCAGTGCAGAAAACGCATATTTTCAAAAGGTTGTCTGTGTGTGTGCTTATGTCTGTGTGTATGTTTGTGTCCGTGTTTATGTTTGTGTCTGTGGGTATATTCGTGTCTGTATGTATGTTTG